GTTATAAAAATATGAAGATAAGAAATTCTGAGGCTGTCTCCCTCACACACACTAGAACCTCACTTTGTAGCCTATGCTGCCCTCAAACTTACAAACCTGTCTCTCGGTCTTTTGCCTATATTCTAGAAAGTCCTCTTTCTTTCAACAGAACAAATCTACAAGCCTCATTCAATTGGTGCCCTGAAGAATCTGAGTGTGGTTTATATTAGCTGTGGTTATGAGCACACTGCAGTGCTTACTGAGGTAATTCCAAATGTTCTTCTCCTCTTCAGATATGGAAGAATTATTAAAAATGTGTATGTGTTGTTTATTATTGAAAGCAAGTGATCTTACTCAGTCCAGGTTACTGTAACAAAATCCTACTGACTGTGCAGCTTAGAGACACCAGAGGTATGGCTTCTCATAGCTCTAGAGCCTGGGACATCCGAGAGGTACCCCCAGGTTTACAAATAATGATAGGTAACTTTCTGATTCCCAGATGACAGTTTTGCTCTGTTCTGCCACAGTAGAAGGGGTCAGGGTGTTCTGCTTGAGTTTTCTTTTATAAAGAAAATAACTCCATTTATGAAGTATATTAGAAATTGGGTTTTGTTTTAAAGATTTATTTTGTGGATAGAAGTGTGTTTATGCATGTGTGTCTGAGCATCATGGAATCAGAAGAGGGGCCAGAGCCTCTGGAACTGGCATTACAGAGCTGCTAGGCTCCTTATGGGTGTTAAAAACAGACCTTAGACCATCTGTAGGAACAACAAGTGTTCTTAACTGCTGTGCCATCCCTGGAGGGGATGTAACAACCCCAGGAGTTAGGATTTCCATAAACAAATTTTAAAAGAACATAAATGCTCAGATATGACACAAAGTGAATTTCAATATCTAAGCCTACCTATATCTAAAGTGGAAACCGAAATAAATATAAACCAATAGATGTTTCAAGATACTGTACTAGAAGCCAATGCAGCAGCTAATCTTTTAGGCAGTTATTCATTGGCAATGCAGATCTACAGAAAAATTTGTTTTATCATTGTCAATAACCCACCCCACAGACCAGAACACACTTTGTTACATTCCTTGATTGGTATAATGACAACCAGTTTTGTTAGTTTTTAATTCTGCCTCTTATCCTGGCTGTCCAATGTATTTGAATGGGATGGATTCTTCCCACCATCATAAAAAATAGACTTAAGAACAGTTTCTACAATTCAGATGTTTGTCTAAAAACTGAAATCTACAGGACCAGGTAGTGTATCAAGGGTAGGACATATGCCTGGGTGTTAAAGTTGATTCTCGGCACTAGAAAAAAAATAATGTATCAAATAATTTTTAAAATGTATTATTATTAACTACAATAATTTTCAATAAATAAAATGCAGTACCTTAGGAATGCTAGGTAAGTGCTCCACCACTGTGCTACATTCCTTGTCCAACTAATTAGTTTAATTTTTAATTTTATTATTTTTATTACTTGTTTTAAAACCATGACTTAAAGCCGGGCTGTGGTGGCACATGCCTTTAATCCTAGCACTTGGGAGGCAGAGGCGGGTGGATTTCTGAGTTCGAGGCCAGCCTGGTCTACAGAGTGAGTTCCAGGACAGCCAGGGCTATACAGAGAAACCCTGTCTCGAAAAAAAAAAAAAAAACCCATGACTTAAATTGGGAAACCTCAATTGTTTGAATTATATTAATCTTAGTTGTCAAGAGAAAGACCTGGGTGTGTGTCTGTGTCTCTTTCTGTGTCTGTGCGTGTATGCATGAGCTTGTGGAGACTACAGGATAATATTTTGGTATTTTGGTATTGTACCTCAGGAGCTAGCCACCATACTTTTTGAGGCAGTGTCTCTCTGATTTGCCTGGAGCTCATTGTCAACCCACAATCCAGGGAGCCTAAGGGATCCTTCTTTTTCATATTGCTGGCACTGGGATTACAAGTGCACATTGCAATGCCTTGCTTTTTATGTGAATGTCTTGCTTTTGATATGAATGCAGGGCATTGAATTCAACTCCCCATGCTTCTGTGACCAACATTTCACTAAGTTAATCCCCACCCAAGCACCTAGATTTGTTTTAAATAAAGAATCACCATTAAAAAACCTTTTTTATATTTTAAAATCAATTTTTAAAAAGATATATTTATTTTTATTTTATATGCATTGGTGTTTTGCCTGCATGTATGCTTGTACAAGGGTGTCAGATCCCCTGGAACTGGAGTTACAGAAAATTATGAGCTGCCATGTGGGTGCTGGAAGAGCAGCCAGTGCGTTAGCTTTTGAGCCATCTTTCCAGCTCCTAAGAATCATCTTTTGAGGAGAAAGTATTTTCAGGAAATGCCCAAATAAATTAAGCAGCAAAGCCAATACTTAAATGTTAGTGTTAGAGTTTAAGCAGTTAAATTGTCATTGATTCTGCCAGCAAACACCTATTAAGTATCTAGTTCTTATGCCCCGGGGAGGGGAGGAGGGTACCTGCTCAGAGGAGTATAAAAGGAAGAACTCTATGAGGAGGGACTTGGAAGGGAGCAACATTTGGGATGAAAATAAATAAAATAATTTATAACAACAATAAAAAGTAGTTGTTCTTTTCATCGCCTTATTGGAACACAATTCACAAAATAATAGATATGCCTGGTGTGTATATATAGTATATATGTGGAAAAGGTATCTTTCTGTTTCTTAAATAATAGAGAGGGAAAGGGAGAAGGATAGAGAGTGGGTAAGGGAGAGGGAGAGGGAGGGGAAAGGAAGAAGAAGAAGGAGG